ATCCACTCCTGCCCTCACACCTAAAGAAGACTATTTTAAATTTCTTTGCACGGTCCATTGTGCAATTAACCCTTATATGTGCTGTCCTTAATGTGATATCACATAAAGGTGATATGTAAAATAATGATTTTTTATTATTGTTATAGAGAAACATGATCAGATTTTCCCCAGTTCAGAAAAAATGATCTAAAGTTTAATAGTTTGCCACTAGTATACTTTTAATACAGTCTTTGCTGTGCTCTTGAGGATCCTTGTGATATTTCGAGCTCTGGTTGAATGACAAGTGTCGCAGTTTAAATAATTTTTGTAGTTAGAAATTATGAAATGCCCTGTTAAAAGCAAGGGAGTTTTTATGTCCGTTATAGTAAAAGAAAATTCCTGACAAAGTAGGGCTTGGACAGATTCCAAGTGCATTTTTGCAATTTATGTTGCATTGTGCATTGTGCTGCTGTAATACAGTTTAAAATAATTAAAAGTCTAAACAGTATCAGCTTTATTTATGGGTTGCAATTTAAAAAAAGTCAAAAACTGCACTCAAAATGCAATTTAGAGCTTTCTGGCAAGAGGACACACCCAAATTAATAATGTAACATGCCACTGTTTGTGCATGAATAAGGTTATACTGCTATTTCCTTAGATACGCGATTAAATAAAACTTTTTTGAACCCCTGGCGGAACCGGGCATCCATAAGAATCAAGTAATAGGTTTATTCCATGCTGAAAAAAAGAAGTAAGAAAACACATTCCATAAGAATCAGCACTTTTATATATTGCCTTTAAAGGTGGCTTCTCAAAACGCTTTACAGGATAAAAACAACAATAACAACAACAATAACAACAAAATTGTATTTTATTGCCCTTTGACAGATCGTCCTTAAATCAATTGTTGACTCTTCTCTCTTTACTACTTGTTCGGAGTGACCGAGCTCTGCTCTGTACCACACAATGATCACCCCAGAGTCTCTGCCCCGGGTGATTTGGTTTTTTTTGACAGAGGGCAAAAAACTCTCTCTCGCTTGCCCTCCCCCCTCTGTGTATTGTCTGTTTTTTTGTGCTGTCCTTTGACAAAACAAGGCTCGCCAGATAATGGGAATCGAAACCTGTTTTTCTAGCTTTTAAAGTCGTGCGATGTGTAAGCGGGAACACATCATTATATCTTACATATGAAAAATACATAATATAGCTCCCAAACAAATGCAAACGTGTTTTTAATAAAATGCTTTTATTCACTCATAATCTGACAATTTCAGGAAGACTAAGGAATGACTAAGGGAATTGTCATCTGTTGTTGATTACTTTGTCATCTGGTGACTTTGAGACCACTTGTTATCCCAGGTTGTTTGAATCGCCATAATTCAAATAGAGAAAAAAGAGGTGACTGACAAGATTTACGATGTGGCTGTCAATGTTGGATTAAAAAAAAACACGTTGCCCGACGTTAGTTGCACTGCTTGAAAAAT